ACACGAAAAACAAACAAACATTGATCAACATCACTGAGAGAAAACATTTTCAAAGAGATTAGATCTGGGATTCAGCTCTGTATTTACTGAGAGGATTGACTGACGCACAGAGGATGCTTCAGTCTGACTTTATTGAATCGTGGGACCCTGTATCTCCAATTAGATGGAAGTTGATTTTGTTAGGACATTTCTACAAACCTACACGCACAAGCTATCATACAAGAGACAGTTCTTACCCCCGACACGTCGTAGATGTGAGTGGAAGCCATCATGGCGGCGCCTACGGGGCCCGTGCGTCTCTCCGGGAGCACCGTGAACAGCTGAGGGGTCTCGTTTCTGTAAACACGAGAGCAACAAAGTTAAAGCTTACATTATCATTGGTAATTAGCTGTGTGATGGAGAAGACATGGTATTTAATTTATAAACACTAATAAAGATTTACAATAGGTGACATCTGGACAGTGAAATGTAGCAATAACGCTTTTTTTTTTTAATTGATATGAATATTTCTTTCAATACCATTCACGATGTTACTGGTGTATCTGTTCACTTATACACCTTATAGAAATGTATTTGGTTGGTATTCCATAACACGGGTGTTTGTATATAATGTAAATGGGAAATTAAAAACACGCAGGATTGCTGTGACGTTGAAGAGCGACACCCACCCGTCCATGGCCTCCTCGATCTTCTTCTTCCTCAGCTCGATCAGCTCGGGCGTCTCCATGCCGGCAGGGATCGACGTGAAGCCCCCGGGGGTGATGAGCCCACTGACACAGAAACAAAGACACAATGAGTTTATTTATGCGTGTCCTTCATTAGGGATTCACCTTTAGTATGTGTTTGTATGAATATTAAAATCTTACACACACTCGCTCAAACAAAGATGGTGATTTAATGTGAAAGCCACAGACCAGTTCATCTTATAACGACACGGCACATATTGGTAATGTCATCCATCAGTTATCGTTTGCACTTAACAGATTACTATACTGTACATTCTTCTTAATTAAAGTGTATCCCTTAAAGTTAAGGTACCTGTCTGCCGGTGTGAAGAACCCAGTTTCGTCCGGCTTCTCCTCGTCGCTCTCCTCTTCCTCCTCTTCCTCCGATGACTCCTCGTCTGAAGGCTCCAGTTCTCCCCACGGCGCGTGATCCACCTCCTCCTCCTCCGCTTTGGCCTGAGCACAAAAATGTACATATTATTACACACATCCGGACAAAATCGAGCAATTAACGCGTGTGTGTACAATCTTTGTTGAGCTATAAGTGCAGTTGTTACAGAACTTGAGCACATTTTGAGGTACAGATTAGAAAATATGATTATTTAAAGCTTTAATGTTTAAGATTTTGATCTTGTCATATTTTTCATTTACACCATATAAATGTATTTGAGCCACAGAACCAAAGATTGGTGATGTTAATGTGCCGTATGTACATTTTCAAAGAAAGCACTTCTTTCATATTACAAGATATTTAAAGTTCGACTAAGAACCCTGCAGTTAAGGGTGTGTGTGTGTGTTTGAGGAGTGAGTGTGTGTGTGTTTGAGAGTGTGTGTGTGTGTGTGCCTGTGTTTGAGAGAGAGTGTGTGTGTGTGTGTGTGTGTGTGTGTGTGTGTGTGTGTGTGTGTGTGTGTGTGTGGTGTGTGTGTTGTGTTGGTGTTGTGTTTGAGAGTGTGTGTGTGTGTGTGTGTGTGTGTGTGTGTGTGTGTGTGTGTGTGTGTGTGTGTGTGTGTGTGTGTGTGTGTGTGTGTGTGTGTGTGTGTGTGTGTGGTGTGTTGGTGTGTGTGTGTGTGTGTGGTGTGTGTGTGTGTGTGTGTGTTTGAGTGTGTGTGTGTGTGTGTGTGTGTGTGTGTGTGTGTGTGTGTGTGTGTGTGTGTGTGTGTGTGTGTGTGGGTGTGTGTGTGTGTGTGTGTTTGAGAGTGTGTGTGTGTGTGTGTTTGAGAGTGTGTGTGTGTGTGTGTTTGAGAGTGTGTGTGTGTGTGTGTGTTTGAGGTGTGTGTGTGTGTGTGTGTGTGTGTGTGTGTGTGTGTGTGTGTGTGTGTGTGTGTGTGTGTGTGTGTGTTTGAGAGTGTGTGAGTGTTTGAGTGTGTGTGTGTGTGTGTGTTTGAGAGTGTGTGTGTGTGTGTGTTTGAGGTGTGTGTGTGTGTGTGTGTGTGTGTGTGTGTGTGTGTGTGTGTGTTTGAGAGTGTGTGTGTGTGTGTGGTCCGTTACCTGGAAGTCTATAGCATTGGTCCCGAACACGTCCCCGTACAGAGGTTTGCCCATCTCGTCTACGGGCGGCTTCCCCCAGCCCCCGGCGTGATAACCAAACGTACAGTTCTGAGAGGACGGAGAGAAACATTAAACATACCGACACGTTTCTCATTCTGAATGAAGAGTGTTTTGCAATAGAATTGTCCCTCTGCAGTAGGAGTAGTGGTCTTACCTCTGGGATGGGGGAGTTGAGTCCGGGGATCTTGAGATTGGGGTAGGAGGGAGGGGGGCCGTACCTCTGCATGGCGATCAACCAGGGGGGGGGCACCTTGTGGGAGTTCTGGAGAGGAAGAAAAGACAACGTCAGCTCACTTTCGTGTTCCTCTCCTTGATATTGTGTTTGGTCAGGTCTCCATTTACAGATTCATCTCCACAGCCTTTTGGATGCTTTGAACAGCAGCAACACGAAGAGTATCAGGATAAGAGGAAAACTAAAGAATGGTGGGCATAACAACACAATAACATGCCACTGCAGGAGCTATATACATACCAGGGTTCATACACTTTTTCACCAATGATTTTCACCAACTTCTCCATGACCTTTACCTAAGTTTCCATGACCAAAGAAATGACTCTTTCTCAGCGGTACCACTGAAAAGGGTTTATTTTAACATGGAACAGGAAAATAAGGTCTGCATATGAAACATGTGTGTGTGTGTGTGTGTGTGTGTGTGTGTGTGTGTGTAAACCAACTCAAATACGTAGCTTACTAGCTTCTAAACGCTAAAGCAACTAAAATCTCTCACCAGCAAAACACCTCGTCAGTTAAATGCCATTTTACGTTTCATTAATATACGATACAGTATACGATATACATTATAGTATTACTATTTCGGCGATTAGATAAAATATAAATTATATTTGATGCAACTTTAGTTACATTTCCATGACTTTTCCAAAACTTTGGGAAAAATATTGTTTTCCAAAACTTTTCCAGGGCCTGGAATTACCATTTTGAATTTCCATGACTTTTCCAGGTTTTTAAAGACCGTAACCGGCGGGCATGTCTGAAATTCGACCAACAACCAATCCCATGAATCTCCCGCCCCTGACACACACGCAGCGGTTTGATTGGCTAGAGCTTGCACTGGCATATGATTCGATTGGCTGACGCTTCTGCCGATGGCGTCAAAAGTTGAACATTGCTCAACTTTTGCGGCGAGCCACGCCAGCAAAGCTCCGCGTTGCTTCCCACAATGCAGTTCGGCGAAAAGTGACGTCACCCCATTCAAAGTGAATGGTGAAGCTTTGTGGACGGGCTGTGAGAACTCTGGCATACAGTATGTATTAGGCCTTATTTGAGTCTATTTGAAGAGAAAATGCACTTGTTTTCAATGCGTTTCTAACTTAAAATGTTATTTTTCTGTGGTAGATGTTGGTTTATTGTGCTTTGCTTCTAATGTTAGTTAAACTTACAGGTCCGACCGGCATGCCCAGAGCGATGCGCAGCTCATCGGAGAGATCTCCCGGCTTCTTCTCCTTCAGACGAGTTTCAAACTCTTTTCCCTGCAGAGACACAAAGACACAGGTCACTCAGAGGGCCTTTTTTTTTTAAATAACAAAAATGGTTCTTTCACAACAGGATGTAAGGATTCTACTGAAAGGTAAGAGAAATGACTAAAAAACAAACCTCGTAGTAGAGGTCTCCGTGGATGGTGAGCTTGGGTTTGATCTGCCATTTGAAGAAGGCGTCGTGCAGCTTCTGGTAGTCGATGTCGATCTTTCCCATCTTGGGGCGAACCTTCTCCCTCATTTTGGTTTTCATGGTTTTGGCGTCTTCCTGTGAACAGAAAATTAACAAAAATGAAGAGAGGGTGTCTCAATTGTATATGTGGACATTTCTGAATGTCCTTCTGGTGCCCCACCTTCTCCTGCAGCGCCTCCCTCATCTCCTGGATTCCAGTTTTCTTGATGAAGTCGGGCAGCTCAAACGGAGGCTTCTCTATTCCTCTCTTGCCCTGCAGGTACTTCCTCTTGAAGCACCAGTGGCGGGGCACCGGCACCGTGTTCCTGGTGGCCTTCAGGTGCACCAGCAGCTTGGGCTCCTGGGCCGTCACGTCGTGCATCTCCACCACGTCTGGACGGGCCACCAGCTGGAAGGAAGACACACAGAGGAATGTACGGTTATTGATAGTCATGAAAACAGGCGGGAAAATAAATAAACACAAGTAGTCAAATCGATGAACTTGGCTAACTAATTAATGATCGCAAAGGACAACATGACAACTGGACTTAGGCGTTTCCATTTCTACCTTTGACTGAAGATTTCATTAAACCTATCTTAGAGGAGGATTTTAGGTTAATAATAATAAATAAGTGCATCTTTGAATTATGGCTCCTACTTTTTTAGAAACAAGATGGCGGTGGAGAACACAAAAACTAGGATTTTTGTTATCCGGTATCGTCGCTTACTTTCATAGATAATATCATATCAGGTATTGAATTAATCCTTCTATCAATGTCTGTTTTGAGCCACGAAAAAACCCAAAATGTGGCCTGCACCGGACCACACAAGCCTTATTTTAAGTATAGTCACTTGCCAGAAAGTCACTTCAAGCCCCTATTTGAGTAATGAGGAGTCAGCAGTCAATGGTGGGATTAAAAAAAGGTTTTCAAAAATGTGGAATCACCTCAACCACAGTGCATAAAGTCATACAGAAACAAAGACACTGACGCATTGCATAGACAGGGTTCATAGACTTTTTCACCAACTTCTCCATGACCTTTACCTAAGTTTCCATGACCAAAGAAATGACTCTTTCTCAGCGGTACCACTGAAAATGTTAACATGGAACAGGAAAATAAGGTCTGCATAGGAAACATGTTATGCCTATCTAAAACAAATCAAATAGTATCTTACTAGCTTCTACACGCTAAAGCAACTAAAATCTCTCACCAGCAAAACACCTCGTCAGTTAAATGCCATTTTACGTTTCATTATTATTCGATACAGTGTGTATTATCATTATAGTATTACTATTTCGGTGATTATAAAATATAAATTAAATTTGATGCAACTTTAGTTACATTTCCATGACTTTTCCAAAACTTTGGGACTATTTTTTTTGTTTCCATAACTTTTCCAGGACCTGGAATTAGCATTTTGAATTTCCAAGATTTTTCCAGGTTTTCAATGACCGTAAGAAGAACCCTGGATATCACAATTATCAAAATTCAAGTTCTGGTACCTGTGCCAATTCAACACTTAAAAATCACATCATCGAAATGTTA